TGGAGGCGTGGTCACTGTGGGAGGCGTGGTACATGATCTGGAGCCGGCTTAAACCACACGGAGGATGCAGCAGGTTACATCCTGTACTACGCCGCTTTATGTGGGGGGCCTGAGCCTGTGGATGTGGGTGTCCCGAGGTGCCCAGCCTCTAACTCCAGCTGTGGGTCAGACGCAGCCCAGTAGCAATGGGCACACCCAACCCGGAGCCTGGTCTCCACGCGGAGGGTGAAAAGAACCGGGGATCCTGGTGGAAACAGGAGGTGGCCGGGCTGGGGAGGAGGGGACCGAGAGGCGCCCAGAGCACCTCAGTCACAAAGAAGCGCAGCGCTCAGAGGACAAAGGGCGTGTCCTGGAAGTGCCAGGGACACTTGTCCAGCAGGAGAGGGGGTCCGGGGAAGTGGACCTGGCACATGAAGATCCCCGTGGACCTATTAGCTAAAATGGGGCAGCAAGATGCTGGAAACCTGGCAGACGTCACTCAGTCACAGGGATGTCCCTAGGAATAGGAAGTGGCCGTTAAGTGCCACTAGGCACGACATAAGGCCAAGAGCATGGCTTAATCCTGGAACACTCCTACCAAACTGCACCCTGGCATCCTCGGGGGTACCCCTGTGAGCCCACATTGAAAGATGTCCCCAAACCTCCACCTGAACTCTGCCAGGGCCCAGGAGCAGGGGGCACGGAGCAGGGGGGACGGAGCTCGCCAGGACAGGGCTCGGGCTCACGGGGCAGGGCCCTCTGGCTGCAAAGGACATCACTGGGACAACAGGCAACACGAAGGTGGCTGCAGGGGTCACCTGGAGTCCTCTGCTGTCCTCACGGCCCCTCCCCAGCCTGAACACAGACCCCTTCATGGTTTTCAAAGGAGGTGGACCTGGCTTAGGTGGCCTTTCTCAGCCTGTCTCCTGGGGCCTCCCCAGGGCCCTGCCCAGTTCCCCTGAGGGCCCCCAGGGCTCCAGGTTCCCTGGGCTGTGCCCAGCAGGGACCTGCCACACCGCCGGCCACAGGGGCGCCCCTTCCCCTCAGTGCCCTACTGCCACCTGCTGGACGCCTGTGGTAGGCCAGGTCTCCACCTCCACTCCAGAGCAGGGCACAGCAGGGCACAGCACCCGCACCTGAAACCGGAGCATGGCCCAGCCCAGGGCGCTGTGGGTGGGCAGCCAAGGTCTGGGTGCCTGGCTCAGGGCCCCCGAGGGGACTACCATCCAAACCATTTGGGCTTCCTCACTGGCACCAGCTTTGTCCCCAAGCTGCCCCCAAGACTTCCCAGCCCATCAGGACCCAAGAGTCACCTTGTGTCAGCTCTGGGCCAGGAAGTGGGCTGGCCATCAGCACAGACAGAGCCGCTGGCTGCTCCTGGCCCTCGCCCCTGCGCTCCTCGGTGGACACAGGAGGCTGGGTCATCCTGCTGGGCAGGGAGGTGTCGGGAGCCAGCCAGCACCTGGGCTGTGGCACCAACCAGAAAGTGGCACTGATCCACGTGACAGGCTGAAGCCCTGCGCCCAGCGCCTCAGGATGTGACCATGGGGACTGGCCTTTTAGGAGGTGGTTACAGACAATGAGGCCACTGGGGTCCTCCGGAGAAGAGGTCAGAGCAGAGGACGACCCTGTGAGGACACAGGGACAGTGCCCAGACAGTCACCTCGGAACCTCAACTTGCTGGTCACCTCACCTGGACATGTGTCCCTGTCTGGACCATGGCAGGCATATTGGTGCACCAGGAAAACCCCGCAGCAGGGGAGAAGACACCACCAGTCCCCGCAGCTGGCAGGCGCCCACCTGGAGCAGCATGGGGCCGGGAGCAGCGCTCACCCCGCAGACGTCAAGCTGCTGAGCACAGGAGCCCTCTGTGGGTCCAGGAGGAACAACAGGACCCGTCCCCTCGCTGTGGGGACTCAGGAGCCCAGTCCAGGGTGAGCTGGGGGTGGGGGGCGTTGGAGCTCAAAACCATCTAATTTCTTTAAGGTTGAAATGTTAAAGTGAAGAATTACAAACGGCAAGAACCACAATAAGACGGACTGACACTACCTCCTTCCTGGAACAGAGACCTGCAGCCAGGCCCGAGGGCAAAGGGGCTCAACACTCTGGGTGGCTCCCTAGTGACAGTGGTCACGAAGGGTGTGTCAGTCCTCACCGAGCCCTGAACTAGCCAGGGCTTCCTGCAAACCCTCTCTTGTACCCATCTCAAGAACTCCGTCAATCATACTGAACCATTCTAGGGGTTCGCACACAAGCTCAGAGAGGGCAAGTCACCTGTGCCGCCTGGCTGGGTTTCCCCCACACT